AAAATCCTCCGAAAAAAATCTCCCGGAAAATCGACCACAAAAAAAAAGTGTTTCGCTCTGTGAAAAAAATTTGTTTTCATCATTACAGTAGCTGTTGTTTTTTTTGTTTTGTCGTATTTCATGAATGTACGGAGCTCTTCTTGAGATATTTTGTTATTTATTGAGTTTATTTATTAAATATAGAAAATTTATTTTCATAAAAATCACCTTGAAACGGGTACGCTGACCAGCACGAGTTTGTTTCTGGACAGGCATGATCTTGAGGACCTCGTCCTTCAGGGATGGTCCAATGAACTGATCAATAATCTCGTACTCTTTGATGGGGAGGGAGAACAGGTAGATGTCCTCGAGAGAGCGAATTTTGCCATCCCTAACGAGGCGTCCCAACTTGGTCACTGGGATCCACTCCTTCTGGTCCTCCTTTCCACGTCCACGACCACGTCCTCGACCACGACCACGGCCCCCCCGACCACCACGACCTCCACGATCTCCTGCACCTCCACGATTACCGAATCCACCTCGAAAACCACCACGAGCAGCTGGAGCAGCGTCCGCCATTCTATTGAGCAACTCAATTAATTCATTACAAAAATATGAATTGAGACAATTCAGTAGGAAAGTAGTAAACCGTAATAAGTTGATTCTAACAATTAACCAGTTTTCCTCTAATAACCTTTGTAATGGTAAAAACTTTTTTTATTTATTCTATTTATTTTTCGTGAAACAAATTAGTATTTTTTTCTCACAACACATGCATTTTTTACCATCTTCTATACTGATTAAAAATTCACCTCAATTATTTGATTTATTTCATTTTGTATGACCTATCAGCCTTTTACATGGGGTACCCCTTTTTCGACCAATAACAGTGATAGAAACTGCAATGTACAATGTTTGATTGAAGAGTCTCGATACATAATCGAGGTTAATTAATAAAGTAGTTTCTCAATGAAGAGGATTAAGATAGAAATAAAAGACCATTTTACCTAGGCCTTCATATGCTACATAATTATTGCAAATTCTCAACAATTAGGCAAAATGTCAGTGTTTCTAACCCCACTTTCGGTGCTTACACATGGCTTCGCATTTCGGTATGGAAAATTCATTGAATATATAATATTCCCTGACTTAATCAATAAAAGTCGTGATCAAGGTCTATTAGTGCACTTCCAAAAGTTTCTGAAAACGTCGATGGTGAACATTATTTGAAATATGGAGTACTCACGCTATTCCTCTTTCTGGTGAGCGGTGTCCCGAAAGAATGGATGAATTTTTGAAAAATCGTTAGGCGTCACTACATTTCCCTTACACTTTCCCTTCCGGCATTCAAAACTCGCGCATTTTTACATTTTCATTTATTAAATGGCTTCAGCAAATTTAATGCCTTCATTTCCAAAGAAAACAATTTTTTTTTATTTTGTAAATAACTGTCCCATATACTAACGAGTGCTGAATAATTTTTTATACTAGTTTTTAATACTAGTACAATAAACATTTTTAATGTGAAAAAAGTAAAATTGAAAGTACCATTGATAAATTAAAAAATGCTTCTACAAGGAAAAAATAATAAAAAATAGAAAAGAATAGAAAGTCTTTTCAATAGGAATTTTCATGATTCAAATATTAAAGAAGTCGTGGATAATCGAAGAGCATTGCGAAATAAGGAAGAATATTGTCTTTATTACAAAAACGTTAATGAACACTAAATTACGATAGGACAGTGATTTCAATTATAACTTAAAAAGGGAATCCCTTAATTAAATGGGCGGTGGGGCTGTGTTCCTGACGTGAACGTGGCGACTCAGGATTTCCTCGAAGGACCACCATCGCAGAGATGTCGTGGAACAGGGGCTGGTGATGGAGAGTGCGTCCTTCACGTAGAAACCGATGAAGAAGGTAATGATCGCACACCAAAACACTAGGCGCCAAGATAACAGGTCGTTTGCAGCTGCCGTGAGGCTCAATCTTGTTCGTGACAACCTAATGACAGTTATTGCAAATAAATCCCTCATAACTCCCCGATCATTTTCATAACTTTGTATCCTGACGATCAAAAATGGAAATTTCAGTCTAAAACGTGAGTACATCCGTTTGTGATAGTCAGATAAAAATTTATTAATAGAAAAATCTAGTGGATGTTAGCAATAATTAAGGAATCATGAATTAATTTGGGCAAATTATAAGCATTGAACGAACCTTGATATTTCCTCGTCCTGCAACTCGTGTTCGGGTTCCTCTGGCAGAGTCTCGATAATAGGCTCTTCCCTGCTACTAGACATCCTGCGTTCCACGGTCTCATTTTCGCAAACTGTCATTTGGCTTCGCACCAAATTATTATTCTCCTCTCGTGACGTACATCGTGACTCCGCCTGCTCGAAGATTTCCCGCAATTCCCCAACACTGCTAGAGCTGTTTTCCAAAACATATCCGTCAACAGCCACGTGTGGAAAACAACTCGATTATTCTCCACTCAAAGTGTATGAATATGCGAAATGTCCCAAATTTAATTCGAATTATTTGAAATGAAAAAAAAATGTACAAAATCGAATTACTCTGTCGAATTTCGAAAATTGAAAATTGCATTTATACAAGAAAACTTTGAAAATATGAATCTCATAGCATCTCGTTTTATGATAGTCCATTTTCTTCATTAAATGACGAAAACTCATGATTAAAAAATTACAGAAATTGGAAATTAGAGCTCCATGATTTACCATACGACTTCCGGCCTCAAGTAATGCGGCAATTTTAAGAATAATGTACACTTATTTACAAAATTGTGAATTAAAGATGAAATGGCTGTTAATCTATTAATGGATTATCAATGAAAAGTTCTTACTCTGTTCTAGTCAATTTCTCCGCCTCGAACCTCTGCGATTCGGAGCTGAACGACGGCCTCCTAATGGTAACTCTCCCCGAAACTGAATTCCGCTGTCTAATATTATCCTAAAAAATGCCACACCATTATCACACTGATAACAAAATTCGAAAATATTAGCCCCTTAAAATTACTTTTGTCACTTCTTGGGAAATTCCAATGGGTCGGAAAATCGTGGCAATACTCGCACGTCTCCTAGCCATCTGAAAAAATATTATCTATCAGTGACAAGTGCTGAATTCCCAAAGCCCCGCAAAAGCAGCAATTGTGAGGAAATCTAAAGCCTGAGAAATCAGTTGCCAAGGGGTAAAGTTTCATAAATCAAACGAAAAATTTTACTAATCATCAAGTTATATCGAGAACTATTAATTTCAGGTGGAAAAATGAAAGATCAACCTTTTGACCAAAATTTGTATTTTTTTATTTGTCTGGTAAATTAATGATGGAATTGCCATAAAAAAATATAAGCCATTATTTAATGGCTCACGGAATTTCGTGATAATGCGAACATTTCCATACGTTCACGAAAAAAAAACCTTGAATCAAGTACACTTGATACTTGCTCCTAGTATATTATATTCCCAACAAATATCGATGCAAAACTGATTTATCTACGATTCTACTAACCATTATGAATTTGAATGAATTATTCAAGTATTTATTTTTTCCGCATCTTTTGTCATTCTTTTTAAGTCTATAAAAAACCCAGGAAAATGTTCGCACGACCGTGAAGCTTCGTGAGTCATTAAATAATGACAAACTGCAAAGCATTATATTTATCCCCACCAATCCGAACGTGAGTTAGTTAAAAAAATTTCAAAAACATGGATTTTTCTGAAAAAGGTGAACATCCTTAAAAGCCACTTATTCTGGCTCAAATAAAAAATGATAAACTATTGACAAACCAGATTTTTTTGAATCTCTTACTATAATGGTTTGAAAATCAATCCATAGTCAGTAAGACTTAATAATTGGACTTATCGCACTTTACCACTCCGCGATTGCAATCTCATTAGCGAATGAAGCTTCGAATCTATTTTAATGTCTGTACCATAGTACGATTGGTAGGCGATAGTGCACGGTATCTCACAGCTGAGGAGAGCCCCTCACCATCTCCATTACCCTCATCAATGGGAATATTATTTTCTGCTAGGACTCGTCTAAAAGATAATCACTCCCAATAAATATACTCAAAGAAGAAAATCAATGCCCAGGGACTGTAAGACTACCCGAAACTAATTGACCGATATTTTTTTTCGAAAAAGCTCCATCCATTAAATTCTTTCACACGTGAACAATCCGGGAGCTTGTGATAAAATTCACACGGAAATATGAAATAGTGTAAAGCCTCGGGTATTCTCGAGTCCCGGATCCCTGAAATCCCTCACTTTTTCTCAGCTACCTCAGCTGAAAGTTTGTCACACCTACTCCTGAGGACCTTGAGAAATCGATCAGCCAGGTGAATGGCCCGTGATATTCTGAACTCCTGTTGTATCGCTCCCAGTGTTTCAGCAGTACAAGACACTCTATGAGCACACTGGGCTATTATCTCTACCTGATTGCATGCAAGCTCGATCCTCTCGACTGTCTCGCTGTCGAAGCACAAGGGTGCAAACTCCTAAAGTATTCAACATCTAATAACTCGAATAAAACTGTACGAATGCACTGTTAAAAATTTCTTGAATTCCCATCAACGATTGCATCTAAATTCTCGAAGTTATAGACATTGAATTAATCTAAGATCAAATCTAAGAAAATTTATTTATTTGATATCTGAGAAAATTTATTTATTTGATATCTGAGAAAATTTATTTATTTAATATCTGAGAAAATTTAGTTTTTCGTAAAAAAATATTATTATTATTATTAAATTATTTTCAATAATTGATTAGTATCACCACTAAAAATTCGATTATTAATTTTCGACATTATTTATAATCATTTTCTGGTGAATTTCAGGTCAATTTTTTATTGTTGAGTTGGAGTTGTAATTGAAATTTCAAGAGGAATTTTCTAGCAGTGGATTTACGTTTTTAATGGCTTGCCTGAATACTCTGTTGCATTTTCGCGATCTCGATCGCGAGATCGTGCTCAGTGTAATCTCGATGACGAAGGGCTAGGGCTCTTCGACGAGGTAACGTCACTCGGTCTGTGCAGAGGCCCAGAGAGAAGGCCAGGAACTTTCGCTGAACACATTTGTACATTTTTTGACGAGTTATTAGAGGTATTCGGGAGGAGAATAAATTTCCCGGAGAATAATCAATCTTTACAATTCGCTTAATAGGCGGGAGAATTAATTAATGTACTTTTACTATTCAATGGCGAGATGGTAAAATAAAATAAGTCGAATAAATTGTTAATCCTGACAAACGTCAAGCTCAAGGGAAAATATTAATGGACATTTTAATTACTGCTTAAATCTTCTACAACTCAATTCTCTTGATATTTATATCTAAACCAATTGTTTACTAGATCAATACACATTTAACAAAATAGTGAAAGCCAGCTTCTCACTCTACCATTTCGCTATAGAATTTACCATAAATAATTATAAATAAAGAAGAATTACCTCAAGCTCTTCCTCTGTCAAATCTTTCCCCCTAAGGATAACAATGAGTAAACAATCAATTATCATTACTTAATTTCTCAAAAATTGAGGCCAATTGAAAAATTCTAATCATCCTATGTGAAAATAGCTACTGAATAAAGCCTTCTTCTCCAAGAAATTCTATTGAATCCCAATTAAAACTCTATGCAAATACGAATAATATTGTAACAACTCCGTAAAATTTTCCTCCACCATATATCACTCCTCAATTACGGAAAAAATATATCATTTTTGCTGAAAATTTTTCTCTAACCGGAAAAAAAGCGTGCGAAATTTATCCCCGGGACTTTCCGTAAGAACACAGAAATCTATTGAATTTCAATCTATCAAGAAAATGTCACCGTTAAATTCGACAATTTTCGATGGAATTAGGAGAAAAAAAGTAAAATGTTAGATTGGAAAAAATTCTAACAAAACTCAAACGTAATTTTAACAGAGATCCAATAAAAGTTCAATACAATTACTTGAGAAAATGATTAAATCTTTATATTTTAATTTTTTAACGTTTCGGCAGTTTGAAAGAGAATAAAAATTAAACTCACTCAAGATCCTCATTATCCGAAAGTTGCGCAATCCCGGATTCTTGTAGTCTGGCATCGGTGAGACTGGGAAAAGCCACAGCATCCACTTCCTTCCTGAAGCTCCCCTTCCTCTTATCCTCCCCCTGTCCATTTCCACACCCACGACACCCATCGCCACCACCAAGCTCCATATTTTCCCCCTCGCTCATCGACCTCCTCATCCTCGGTGTCCTCTGGAATCCAACAAACTCCTCAAAACCCACAAATCTCTATTCCAAAATGCAATCCCATCACAATTCAAATCGTCAATCCGCTCAAACGTGCGAAGCACCAAGTACAAATTAATCAACACTAATTAACCCACCACAAGAGTCCCACAATTGCACAATTAATATCAATCACGATTGCTATCAAATCACAATAGCCATTAATCGACAAAAACAATGGAGAAATAATCGGTTCAAAATAATTTTC